TCGCGAAGATCTGCATGACGGTGAAGAACATGTTTTCACGAGGCTCCAGGCATCGAGGTGAGGACAATCGACCCTTGACGAGGCGGTGGGCGTATTACGCGGACATCGACGGCGGCCACTACGACGAGGATACAGGCGGCGACCGCGACGAGGACGCGCGCTGGACCCAGGCCAGCGACGGCTGCTGGTGCGATTGGAGTGGCGACCACGACGCGTACGTCATTCAAAACTACGCCACGGTGACGCAGAACGACTTACGTCTGCGCGGGCGAAGAGGCCGGTACCACCGTGGGCGATCAGGACCCCGAGTGCAAACGCGCGTCAGTGACGCCGCGCGAGTCGCGGGACAAATAAACAAGACGCGGCTATCACAGGGGGTCTTCCATAGCATGATCGACGGAGTGCTGCACGAGAGCGCGGCAGCAGGAGGCAATCCGAGCGGCAAGTTTGGCCGCCCCAGAAAAGTCCAAGCGTTTGAAGGGCAGGAGTTGCAACGGGCGCAACCGTTTCGATTGCGATTGCCCCGGCTGCGGCAACGGAAGCGAACCAGCGCGCGGCAAGCGTCGCCCACATGGCAGGGGCAAGCCGCCAGGGCTAAGCGACGGTGCCCCAGGGAAGAATCGGCTTGGCATGTCGGTGATCGGAACGGTCTCTGGAGTCAGCGGTTGGTGGCAGACAGACGTCAACAATGCGGTCGCCACTCACTGCGCGGGCCCCCGGACGCCGATTTCGTCGAAGCTCTGGCAGAACGCAAATCTCGCGGCAGACCAAGGCCGCCCGGGCTCAACGTGGCCACGCATTAGATTTTCGGGCAAAGTGAGACAGGCGTGGAGACTTACATGACGAACGCATTTGACATGCCACAAGTCAAGGGCATCTTGTTCGGCGAATCCGGGGCCCCATACGGATGGATTTGGGACATGGCCCAGGCGTGGCAGGCCTGGAATGGCCAGCGAAGGCAGCAGCAGAGCTCCAGAGATGCGGCCTGCGCTCGCTGTTGATCAAGGCCGACCAGCACGGCGAGGGCTTGGGAGACGCCGAGCGGCGCGCCAAGGAACAGGGGCTCGCCCCAATCGGCATCGGCAAGAGGCATCGAACTCCAAGGCGCTGCGTGACCCCAGTTAGGTTATCGGACTCGCCAGGCGTGAAGATACGGAAGACTGGGAGACGAATGTGCACCTGCGCCGATGAGGCCATTGGGCAGACTTTGCGCTTTTGGTCGCTCTTCTCCTAGGTGCCGGCCAGCATTCAATGGGCGTCTCAGGCGAGCTGCTTGTTTCGCGCGCCCAGGTCTTGAGGATGTCTCGAGCGAGGCGCTTCGAGGACATCTCGCTCGAAACGCACGTTTTGCAAAACTCGAGCGGCCTGGGCGCCCCAGGGTGCCCGGGTGGCTCTTGGAGCCCAAACGCAGCGCATTTGATTGAGGAACATTGCCCCCGGGGCGCGGGCGCAGAGCAATTCGCGAGGGGGCGCGGACCTGGGGCGCGGGTGCAAAATATTGCACGACGGGCCGCTGCTCCGGGGGCGCGGGCGCAGCCGGGCGCGCAGTGGATCGCGGCCCTGGGGGCGCGGGCGCAGCGCCGTTCGCAATGGGTCGCGGCCCTGGGGGCGCGGGCGCGGTGTAATCCACAAAGGGCAGCGGCCCTGGGGAACGCGGCCTGGGGGGCGAGGACGCAGCGTCATTCGCGAGCGAGCGCTGCCCCAGGGGCGCGGGCGCCGCGCGGTTTGCGAATGGTCGCGGTGCAGGGTGAGCGGGCGAAACGCAATTCGCAGGGGATCGTGGCCCTGGGGGCGCCAGCGCAGAGCCATGTCCGAGTGGCCGCGGCGCCGGGAGCGCGGGCGCAGCGCGATGCGCGAGGGATCTTGGCCCCGCGGGGGCGGGCGCGGCATAATTTGCGCTGGGTCGTGGTCCCGGGGGCGCGACCGCAGCGCAATTCATCGCAGATCGTGGCCCTGGGGGCGCGGGCGCAGTTCAATTTATGGGGGGCCGCGGCCCTGGGGGGCGGACGCAGCGCAATCTGTCGAGGGGCCTCGGGGGCGTCGACGCGCATTATTCGCGAGAGGGCGAGGCCCCGGGGGCGCGGGCGCTGCGCAGTTTAAAAGGGGCGCGGAGCAGGGGCGCCGGGCGCGTCGGCCCCGGGCGCGCGGGCGCCGCGTAGTTTGCGAGGGGTCGCGGCCCAGGGAGAGCGGGCGCAATGTAAGTCGCGGTGGCTCGCGGCCTCGGGCGCGGACGCAGCGCCATTCAAGATGGATCATGGCTCTGGGCGCGCGGGCGCAGCGTAACTTACAATGGATCCTGTCCCTGGGTCAGGGACGTCCAGCGGCGCGTTCCCTCTCGCGTTCCTTGGCGCGTTCTTTGGCGCGTCCGTCGTCTGGCGCGTTCCGAGGCGCGTCGCGTGGCGAGTTCCATTCGGCGCGCCCCGCGGCGCGCCAATTGGCGCGTTCCGTAGCGCGCCCCCTTGGCACGTCCCGCGGAGCGCCCCCATGGGGCGCCCCCTGGCACGTCCTCTGGCGCGCCCCGCGGGGCGTTCCGCGGCGCGCCCCCCCTGGCGCGCCCCCCTGTCCAGCTCTGGAGCAATTGCCATGTGCTCAGGCAGTTCGAGCCCAGGGCCCATATCAGTTCGGTATAGAGCACGATCGCGGCATGGCATACCGCAGTTCAGCACGGCGCAGCACGGCACAGCAAGACCGATGCACTCAGCATGGCAATGGCCCGTCGCCCAATCATGTGTCTTGAAAGCGTTGCCATGCCTCGAATGTATTTTCCTTTCTGGGTTCGCAGGCCGACCGTGCGTTTTGGTTCTACGGCCAGGATGGACGCGATCTTAACATCATCTCGATCGGCTAGTGGGATTATCGCTGCGCCTCGGGTCCAGGGGCGCGCGCGCCCAGCGATGTGAAGGTCTCGGGCGGCTGAGAACGTCGGCAGGTCCATCCTTCGCCACATGCAGCAGTGCTGTGATCAAGTCTTGACGCTGTTCGACCGGCAAGGGCCCAGTCGGGCTTGCTTCCTGCTCGCGTTGAAAAGCATTTCTTGTTCCGCAGAATCTTACCTCGCGGTGATTACTTGTTTCTTTTGCTGATTCCTCAGATTTGCGCCGGGCGCTGTGCGCCGCCCACTTTTCCCCACCCGTCGCGGCCCGACTTGAGAGCGGCAAGCGAGAGCGATCAATTGTATCGGAGCTCGAACGCAGGCCAACACTCTTGCTTGCGATTCGAAGTGGTTGTATATTTTGCTGTGCACGTGCAGCTCATGGTGTGCATTCTGGACATTCATGCTCAAAGCGTCTCAGCGCCTTGCCTCTTTGCGAGGCAACAGTTCCCTCTCCCGAGCGCTCCCCCAGCGACGGCGGTAGAGGGGGGGCGGCGCGGCGACGAGGCCAAGATCCCTGTTGGACCCCTGGGGCCCCTTTGGTTCTCCATGGAGGTTCGAGGAGCATCGAGGTTGGTAGCGGGGCGGGAGGTCGCCCCTTCTCGGCCCCATTCATGCTACATATCATAGGAGTGGCCACCCCCACGGACAAATTCAAGGTGGACTGCCCACCTGGCGCGGGCCCATAGGTCGCAGCTTTGACGGGCGAGTCTCGAGGCTTTTGCCAATTGCAAGAGCGCGGTGGAGGCCGGCATCTTGTCGTACCATGACGAGAAGGACAGGGCTTCTTTGGGCACCGCGTCGGTCATCGCCGGGCAGCGAGATCAAGCGCGCGTCGCCGACGAGGACGGATCTACGAAACTCATTAGTTGATTGGGGCAGTCGGTTCTCAACGGGGCGGATTTCAGCGTGCTTCCGCGAGCATGCGACGCACCCTGCAGGGAGATGCGATCCGAGAAGCGCGGAGCAGAACCCGCGGCGGCATTTTCCACAGCGATGGAAGTGGCCAAGGCCATTTTGGATAGCATCGGCAGTGGAACGACGAAGCATTGCAACGAGTTGGGCCATTGGACGCTCGAGGGCGCGCGCTGGATCCAGGCCAGCGACGGCTACTGGCGCGATCGGAGTGGCGACTGTTGCGCGTATGTCATTCAAAACTACGCCACGGCGACGCAGGGCGACTTGCGACTGCGCGGGCGGAGAGGCCGGTACCATCGTGGACGACGACGGCCCGTGGATCGCCGATCAGGTCCCCGAGTGCAAACAGGCGTCAGTGACGCCGCGCGAGTCGCGGGAAAAGATGAACAAGACGCGGCCAGCATAGGGGCTCTTCCATGGCAAGATCGACGGAGTGCTGCACGAGAGCGCAGCAGCAGGGGGCAAACCGCGCGGCAAGTTCGGCCGCCCCAAAAAAGTCCAGGAGCTCAAAGAACAGGAGTTGCAGCGGGCGCAACCGCTTCGATTGCGACTGCCCCGGTCGCGGCAACGGAAGCAAACCAGCGCGCGGCAAGCAGCGCCCAAAAGGCAGGGGCGAACTGCCAGGGCGAAGCAAAGGTGCCCCGGGGAAGAATCGGCTTGGCGCGTGGGTGATCGGAACGGTCTCTGCAATCAGCAGCTGGTGGCAGACAGACATCAACAATGCGGTCGCCACTCATTGCGCGAGCCCCCGGACGCCGATTTCGAGGCTTTGGCAGGGCGCGAATCTTACGGCAGGCCAAGGCCGCCTAGGTTCAACGTGGCCACGCATTAAATTCTCTTGCAAAGTGGAGACAGGCGTGGAGACTTACATGGCGAAACAGGTATCATATCGACATGGCACATGTCAAGGACATCTTGTTCGGCGAATCCGAAGCCCCATGCGGGTGGATTCGGGATCTGGCGCAGGCGTGGCAGGCCAGGAATGGCCAGCGAAGGCAGCAGCAGAGCTCCAGCGATACGGCCGACGCTCACTGCTGATCGAGGCCGACCAGTAGTGCGAAGGCATGGGGGGCGAGGAACAGGGGTTCGCCCCAATCGGCATCGGCAAGAGGCATCGGATTCCACGGCGCTGCTCGACCACCAGTAAGATGATCGGACTCATCAGGCGTGAAAGACTGGGGGGCGAATGGCTACCTGTGCCGAGAAGGCCATGGCAGACTTCGAGTATCTGGACACATGCCGCATGCAGCTGAGCATGACCCCGTGGCGACGCAGACCTCGACATCTTTGATTACGACAGCGCGAAGTACGTCGACAAACCGGCCCCCCGCGAGTTCAGGAACAACAGACTGGTTTCGACCGACGATCTCAGGTTGACGACCGTCGTCTACCACATCGAGCCCGATTGCGAGGAGCCCATCGAGACGATCGAGCACGGCGTTTGGGCATCTTTGGCAGCGCGCGGAGGGCGGCGCGGCATCTTCAAGAAGCCGACGCCCAAGCGCACCGAGAAGTTGGCGAAGGAATGCGCGGTGATATTTGGCATCCCGCGGGTCGACGTGACCACCGTTGCGCGAGTGATGTGCGCCGATGCTAGAAGGGTCATCATAGTCGCCGCAAGAGGATGTCATCGGAACGCAGCGTCCTCGGACCTCCGCGCGGAGTGTACTTCAATGACCCCAAGGTGCAAGATGGCTGGCTACTGCTGACCGAACGCCGCAAGCCGGGGTTGCTCACGTGCCCTTCGCGAGCCCCGCCAGGCATAGGGGCGATCGCGCCCAGTGGATGAGCAAGTGATCGAAGCTAAGCCGCACCTGGCGTCGTCGAGACGCGCGCTGGCAGCTCAGGCAGCGGGGATGACCGGGACTAGCAGAGAACCCGTTGACCAGCAGGGCACTGAGTGATGACGTTCTTCGGACGTTGTACACGCGGGGCGACGCCAGGCGCGGCTGGGCCAGCGCGCGCGCGGACTCGTCGACTACGAGGGCGGGTTGATCAGTGAGCCTACGGCGATGCGAGTGCCGAGGCACAGTTGCTCAAGGCGGTGGTTCTCGGTGAAATTCGATAGATCGCGCCGGCATGCGGGCGCCGCGGCCTGAGGGAAGCTAAGCTCTGCCTGGCAGCGGCGGGGGCATGGCCAGGATCAGTCAACTGCGCCGCGGTCAGCGCGGTCGCGCGCGAGCTCTTCAACAGGGCGAATCCCATCAAGTGCAGGCTTGACAAAATGATCGGCCGCGACGCAACGCTAATTGGCGAAGGAGTTCTACCTGCGCGGCGACCGCGTCGAAGTCCGCGCCGAGGAGGGCGTTGGCAGCATGGGGCGGTTCGCGGCCATCTACAATGATCAAGGACAGTCGGCGGACTTAGAGGCCGCGCGGAAGGGGCGCGACCCTTTCCACATGCCCCCAGAGGCAGTGCGAGTGGACAGCGACGTATCGAACGTGATCTACGCGGACGAACCAGAGGTCCGGGCGTCACGCCCAGCGATTCGCCAGACCGCGGACGCATGCACCATCGAGGCGCGGATTGGTGACCAAGACGCGGGCGCCGCCCACCAGTGCTTGAAGAGCGATGGCGACGTTTGGGCCGGAGCCAGACAACATCATTCAAGCACAATGGTCAGCACTGCAGAAGCTACACCTCGACTTGAGCCATCCGTCGGCACATGCGGTGACGAGACAATTCAAGACGCGCGCTGCAACGGCAGAGGTGCTCGACGCAGTGGGCAAGCTAAAGTGCCCAACGTGTTGGGGGCTCACTTGACGACGGCGCGCTCGGCACATGTAATGCTATCGGTTGAGTTCAACGTCAACGTGCTCCTGGGCGAGTCCGAGGTCGTGCTCTCAGACGACACTGGGCTGATGGCCATGATCATCACCGACGGCGCCGCGAGCTTCTGGGCTGTCGCCCCGACGAGCGTGGCGCGATCCGTCGCTGGCGTGGAGGCGCTGAAATGCTTTGTGCGGGGCTGGCTATCCAGCCTGCCTATCCTGGGCCAGTCCGTCCAAGAGATGACCCTTCGACTCGTCGACGGGCCGCGTCGCGATGGCGTTCGCGGAGGTCGGCGACAGACGCAGCATTCTCGCGCGATCGTTCCTGGCAGAGGCCCCCCGCCTCCAGGGCGTAGTGGAGAGACCCGCCGTTCTCTTCATGGACCATTTCCAGATGATGAACCGCGAGATCCAGATCGCCAGGAAGGACGACAGAGCCATGTGAGCAGCGAGTTGCAGCCAACACCTACAATCGTCAAAATGGCAGAACGGCTTCGCGGCCCACTGGCGCGCGTTCGGACGGCGAAACGTTGGAAAGCGACGAGGCGAGGCTCTCGGCACAGAACGCAGCAGCATTGAAGAGCAGATACGCGCAGCTACCAATCGATCGCTCTTCGACCTGGAATGCGACGATGCTGTTCAACGAGATGCTCTCCTGCGAGTTCGACCACCGCGGGGGCCATTGTTTCCAGGGCGCGCGGGCTTGTACTGTCGCGAGGTGAAGCAGATCAGATCGAAGCGGCTGCAGGGTGAACGCGGATGGGAAGGGCAATCATCTTGGCCACAGAAGGACAAACCAGGTTACGTGCGTCGTACCGTGGATTTCCTGTGCTGATGACACCTGGGCAGTTTCGACGTGCGCTCCAGGCCGAGTTGATATGACCGAAACCAAGGACATGGTGAAGCAGTTGGGTCAATGGAGAGGCGGTTCAACCATGCAGCGTGGTTTTGCGGACGAGCGGGGGCCAGCCCCCAATCCGATCGGCGACGCAAGTGGCGAAGCGGTCGAGGACGTCGAGATGGGCGACAGCATGCCAGTGCCGACGCCGTCAGCGAGATCATTGATCCTTCGACGGGAACGGCTGCAACCGACACCTGCAGCACGCCCAGGACCGCATATCGGACCTCGAGATCCGGACCCTTTCCATCAGCGAGAAACCCGATGACAGGATACACGACCCACCAAGAATGCATGGCCGAAGCAGGTGGACGGGCGTTTGCCGCGGAAGAACCGCCGACGCCTTCCGAGGCGCCAGGACAGCACGCAAAGACCAGCGTGCCGACGCCACTCCCAGATTAAGAAGCGAGACGCCGTCGGAGACAGCAGTTCACGGTGGACATCAACCTCAATCGACGGCGGATTGACTAGGTCAGGGCACCAGGTATGCGGCACAACAAACCCCCGTCGATGACGCACACTGACGGAGATCTCGCCGTCTACGTCTAGTACCAGACGCGCGATGCGTTCTTGGCGAGGGGGGTGAGAAGGCAGGAGCAAACAGCCGCTGGTCAAGAAGGGCAGGGAGGTGCGTAATTGTCCTGCCGGCTGGAGGGCAGCGTGCGAAGCATCCGGCGAGGTCGAGTAGAAAAAGTGGATCAAGTACGACGCGGTAGCGATCTCAACGGATGGGGTTCTCAGGGCGACCGACCAGTCCGAGGTCTTGCCCACGCGTATTTTTGGCACGCCGACGAGGACGGGGCTGCTCGCAAGAACCTGTCGCACGACGACCCCGCTACAGGCCAGGACAAGACATATCGTGCTGGGCCACGAGGACAAGCAGGTCTTAGCAGGCGAGAGGAGGGCGACTGTGCCCTTATTTGCGCGGCGACGGCCATCGCGCTCCAGGAGACGGCGAGCAGCCCCGACTGGACACTTGAACAAGGAGACGTCGACTTAGCCTTCCTGTACGGTCGTTATTTGGACGACGCAAGGCGCGTGTTCTTCAAGGCCCCGACGGGCGGATCACTTGCGGCACCCGAGCTAGGATGGCCCTACATACCCGAAGGCGCGATCTTGCAGGCCAAGACGGGAATATACGGATCCCCGCCGCTCATGGTGCGAGGAGCATCGCGGCGTCCTTCTAGCGCTGCATGGGGCGCCACGATCAAAGCTGTGCCCAGCCCTCCTCGTCTTCAGGGGCGAGCCGGGCGAGATGATCGGGCTCGTCGGGGCGCGCGTGGACGACGACCTGATAGCTGAATCCCCAGAGGTCTTCAAGAACCATGTCACAGCGTTGAGGGGGGTGGATTGCGATCGCAAGTGGCACATTATTGTGAGAGGCCTCCATCGCTGTGGGAGGTAACTCAAGCGGGTCGACAAGCACCGCATTTCATGCACCCAGAAGGAGCGCGCGGAGAGAATCGAGCGCGCGCCGCTGAGCGACGCGACGCGAGCATAACGAGAGCGATCTCACAGCAGAGGGGCGCCAAGCGATGCATCAAGCCAACGGCAAGAGCAGTGGCGAGCCAAATTCACAAGGGCGGACATCGAGTTGCATGCGATTGAAAGACGCGAGCCCGCGACCTGGATGTCGCCGCGCCGGCCGCCATGAAGTTCAACGGTATGATCGTGGGCGCGAAGACGTTGCAGGTGGAGATCACATTCCAGAGCTCTGACCTGACCAACGCGGTGGCCGTCGCGATCGGCGGCTCCAGCTTCGCGAACGCGGGCAGGGACAAGACAGCCAGCGACGCCAGTCCCAACTGCCTGATAGCCGAGAACGAGGACGATAAGGTCGTTCGAGGCGAACCGGCGAAGGTCACGCCGATGGGATGAATATCACATCGCACCAAACGAGATATTCGCAGCACCCTGGCGGCAGAGATCATGGCAGCGCTGCAGGCAGTCGAAGGTGGAGGTCTTGCACGAGCTCATGTAGCGGTGATGCATTACAACCCTGGACTACCGAACCCACGCCAGCGACGCGGGGGGCATCGAGGTGACATACGTGGCGGATTGCACATCTCTGCGCGACCTGCTACAGAGGCGTGGCGCGATTCCAAACGAACGCAGGCTATCGATCGACATCGGGGCGCTTCGCGACGACGTCGAGTCGAGGAGTCTAATATGGTTTCCAAGTGCACACCTGTCACATGTTGGACTCTCCGACCGACAGCGACGTTCGGGCGGCTGACTACATGCGACATGCGCTGAAGAGGGGGCACAACGGGCTCACTGAGGACCCAAAGGCCGACCAGGCTGCGGCCAAAGGAGGCGTCAGCTGAGTGGCGAGCGCGGCGAGCACTCGAGGGCCAAGTGCATCGCGCAAGTCGGACCGGCGCAGCAGCAGTACGTCGCGGGGGGTTACACATGCTACAACGATGCATTGGCCGACGTGCGATATGATGGTCGCCGAGACGGTGGGCGACACCTGCTTCCACGCGCATGAGGAAGTTGTCGGCTGGCACGGGCTCGGAGTTACCCAGAAACGGCGGAACAATCTTGAGCTGATCGCGAATTTGAAAACGTTGCACGCCCCCACGAAGGAGGTCCTTGCAAGTTGGCGCGACGATTCCATGCGGAGACATACTCTCATTAGTGGTAGCGACCAGCGACTGGCCATGAACAGCCCCAGCGCCGAGGACCTCGAGCGGCAGGTTTTGGCGCTCCAGGTGGAGCACGCAGCGGCGGAGAATGACGTCGACGATTGCTACGAGGCCGACGTGATGGAGCATGGCGTCAATTCGGTGTTCCTGCGCGTGAAGGGACAGGCAGGGTCAGCAGCGGCTATGGCGGCGCGGCAGCGTGCCGCATGGCGATGGACCAGTGCGGGCGTGGACCACGAGTTCACACGGCAGTCGAAGACCACGAATTAGGGACATCGTCAGTTCAAGAGGACGGCAACACAATCCCGGTGGATTCAACGGCAGGCTATGACGACCAGGGGAATGGGCGAGGAAGTTTGCACAGAGAAGCGGGCGACGAGATCTTCATCCCAGCTAAGAGCAAAGGGGTGGCCCGGCTGAGGACGTGGCAAGCCCATCATCTCTTATAAGCCCGGCCTCATCGACACTGACACGAGCAGCGGCGCCTATTCAGAAGCAGTTCCACAGACAGACCAAGCACGTCAAGTATCGGATCCTCGACAAGTTGGCGATCATGCGCAAGGAGAAGAAGCCGATCAAGGACCCAACGACCTGCGAACACCGACCCGAGTGGCTCACGACGCTCGCGACGCATGGGAGCGCCCCGATGGAAAAGTGTGAAATGAAGGGCGTGTTTCCAAGTACTGAAGGACGAGGGTGCGCCCGAGTAGGCGGAGGAGAACCAGAGGCGTGCCGAAGCCAAGAAGCGGATTGCCAAGCCAAGATGGTTAGGAATAAAGTAGCAAGCAAAGATTATCAGTGGGAGGAGCCGAGGCGGTCCTAGGATTGAATGTTGACCGCAGTGGCGCTTCCATTTTTTGGACAGCCAAGATTTGACAGGCTGAATATTTATGTTGCAATGTAGCAGTCCTCGTTGCGAGTCAACGCGTAGGCCCGAGCGTGCATCTTAGAGTTGAGATACGCAGACATGTGTGATTAGAAGTGGTTGTTTATTTTGTTGTTTGCACGTGCAGCTCATGATGAGTGCTACGCGCATTTTTGCTCAAACCGTTTTGGCGCCATGAGCCCTGGTGAAAAGCAAGTGCCCTCTCCTATGCACTCCCTCTGCGGCGGCGGTAGATAGAGGATGGCAACAACGGCAACGATATCGAGATCCTCCTTGACCCTTCGGACCCAGTTGGCTTCCTGTCAATAATCGAGGGCTATCGAGGCTGCTATAATGTTTTACTTCAGGGGGGGGTCGGGGATGAATCTTGTGCTCCCGGCCCCCCGGGAAGTGGTCCCCAAAGGCCTCTCCGGCTTCGGCCGTGCAGCGGCACCAGCATGTTTTGCGTTGTGCATGCGAGTTTTTGTGTGGTCGCGTGTCGCTTCAAGAGGTCCCACGGGCCTGATATTTGGCCCACGAAAGATGGATCGCCATGGCAAACATCTGGTCGTGACGGGAAAGGGCATCGGATTGTTCATTGTGGATTGCCTCCTCGGGGTTCTCCCCAAGTGTCCCAGGACCGTCAAGTCTGTCCTGGGTGAACTATGGGAGTCCAGGATTGTTTCTCTCTAGGGACCAACATTCCTTCAGACCAATTCGCGGTTCGGGCTGGCGAGTTGATCTTGTCCGGCCGGCGATCGACGTTTTATCCGTGCCCATTTTGTTGACCCCGCTCCGATCGCCAAGTGCAAGGCCAGATGTGTGATCCATTCTTCCATTTTCGCCCCCCCGTAGGGTTTGAATGAGCAGGTGTTCGGATACCCGATTGGTTATCCAGGGAGCGTCGCGACAGTGTGGCGATAATTGCGCCGCGCGCAGCGCGAAACGAAAACTTGGCGGCCTGGTGTATATGCACTCGGTGTAGCCGGGCTGGGCGATAGCCAGCTGTGTGGTCGCATGTTTTTTCCAAAGTTCGGCCTTCGAGCGGGCGGATGACCTACGCCAGCGCTCCGCATGTGCATGTAGCACGTGGCCTCATGTTCCCTGGGGAATCCGGCCCTGTGAGTTTCTCCAGCCTCCTGTTATTGCCTGGTTGAAATGACTGTTTCCGAATGTTCGTGTAGCAGTGCCCTCGACCGCGCAAACGCAGTCCCTCTCCCCCGCACGCCCAACCCAGGCGCACAGCGACCATGCCCAGCTCCCCGACCGGACGCCCACTCCAGAGTCCGAGCAGGAGCTCGCTGTGTCCGCTGCCTCTCCGCAGCCGCGTCCACCCTGCCCGGCGTCGTCGTGCTGGCCGTCCGCAAAAGAAGGCCGGGTTCAGTGCGACAGCCTCTGAGGAGGCCCCCGCCTGCCTCGTCCCGTTGGCGGTGGCCTCCCGCCAACGCCCGTCATCGTTCGCTTGTTTTCGTGTCCTTCCTCTCCGTGCCTCTCTCTCTCCGTCGCCGTGCATTATAGTAGGCCTCCCAGATGGGGTCGGGGTGGATGGGGTCGGAGGATCGCGCCGCATCGCCGATGCGTCAGCGATGCGGCGAAATCGGGAGCCCGATTTTCTCCACGCCGACGTTGCCGATGCATCGCCAGTGCATCGGCGATGCATCGACGGTGCGGCGCGATCCTCCGACCCCATCTGGGAGGCCTCTACTCTCTCTCTCTCTCTCTCTCTTTCTCTCTCTCTCTCTCTCTTTCTCTCTCTCTCTCTTTCTCTCTTTTTTTCCTCTCCGTTGTGCAGCGAAGACTACTAGGAGCTGGCGGCAATGGTAGATCTTGCAGCTGCAGGTAACACGCGCATACACTGTTTCACTCTCCCTCCCTTCGGCCCTCCGCCTCTCATCTTCGGGAGGTGTGGGGGACATTGCTGTTTTGCTTCTTAGGGCCATGCCTCTGCCTCCTCTTGCTCACCGCTGAGTGGGGAAGCTCCTCGCCACTACGGCTGTGTCGGGCTCGGACCGCCGGCCGGTGGCCTCCGAACGCTCCGCGAACTTCGCCCGAAGGCGCTTGGGTGCAGCCCTACACCTCCTTGACGCTACCTCTGGCAGGCACGACGGTCGACGGAAGCCTCGGCAGTTTCAAAACGGTGCGGTGACCATGCGAGGGGATTCGGGGTTAGCGCACGGTTTCTGGACTTGGGCCGTTCTCCGGGCACGTCTCGTGCGATTGGGGCCCCCGAGGTCCCGCAAAGCCGTGCGGTGACGGTCCGTGCGGTGAGGTCTCTCGGGGTCTCGAGGTCACAGCGCGGTCTGTCACCGCTTTTATTCGGTTCGGGGAGGGGGGGAGCCTCTCTTTCTCCGTGCCGCCAGGCGCGCTCCAGAGAGGCCATTGCTTTCGAGGATCGAAGACGATGTCATCTCTTCTTCGGCGGGAGGCCGGCGAAAGGCTGGCGAACGTTGAGCAAGGCCGCCTCCGCCGGTAGAAGGCTGGCCGAAGCCTGCGGAAGTAAAAGTTACCTTCCTAAGATATCACAGATTTGGGATGCGGGCTTCCAGGAACCCGCCAGATAAGGCGGATAGAGCTGCGGACGCCCGCACTGCCAAATCCGAGCGCGTCATGCATGGCCCCATGGCCCAGCGGCGGAGCGCCGAGGAGATGCCGAGGCATGCGTGGGCCCCCAGATGCCAAACACTATGAAAAATGTTACCCAGCGTGGACCCCAAACAGTAGGTGCTTGCAGTCTATGTGGTGGAATCTATGCGGTACAATCCACTTTGACCGTCTTGAAGTTGTCCTCTCCACTGCTCGCGCAAACATCCCACCCACCCACCCGCAACTTGGTTTGCAAAACCTCTTCAGACCGACTACGACGACACCGACGACAACGACTAGGACGACACCGACGACGTCTCCGACGACTTCGACGACGACAACGACGCCGACGACGACGAAGACGACGACGACGACGCCGCCAACGAAGGCGACGACGAGGGAGGAGGAAGGACGACGACGGCGACAACGACGACAACGACGACAACGACGAGGGAGGAGGGAGGACGGCGACGACGCGAACGACGGCGAAGGAGGAAGGACGGCGACGCCGACGACGACAACGACGAGGGAGGAGAGAAGACGACGACAACGACGACGACGACGGCGACGAAATAGGAGGGACGACGACGAGACGCCGACGACGGACGACGACGACGACGTGGGAGGAGGAGGAAGGACGACCACGGCGACAACGACGACGGAAACGACCACGACGCCAAAGAGGACGACGACGACGAACACGAGAAAAGACAGAGGACGACGTAGGCGACGACGACGACGACGCGGGAGGAGGGAGGACGGCGACGACGACGACGACGACGACGACGACGCAAGAGCGCGCGCGCGCACGCTGTTGTTGAAAATCCGCGTTGCGAGACCCTGGGTTTTTGCAGGTTTTGTTGGACGCACGATTTTGACATCCTTCCGAAACCGATGGGTTTTGAAGGTTTTCGGCATACGCCCGCGACGACGCGCGCGTCTGCACTTCGTCCTATTTTTGCAGATGATTCTCGCGACGGCACACGCGCAAGGGCGCTCGACAGATTTCGACATGCGCGCGCGCGAAGCCCGTTTGGTAGCATGTTGTGAAAATCTTGAAAAACCTATATATTAAAAAAAAAAAAAAAAAAAAAAAAAAAAAAAAATCGCCAGAGCTCGCGCGGAAGCTTTTTTAGCAAGTCTGTGTTATGAAACCATGTGTTTTTGCATGTTGTTTTGGAAACTCGATTGCGAAATCCTTCCGGCACCAAGGGTTTTTGAAGGATTTCGGCATGCGCGCGCGACGACGCGCGCGTGTGCGCTTCGTCCCGTTCTTTGCAAGGGATTCGTGAAATGCTATGTTAGAACAAAAATGTCACCGCATAGTGTTTTTTTACAAGGGAACAGGACAGGGCGGCCAGGGAGGTCCAAAATAGTCCAGGAGGGCCTCCAGAGGCCCCCAAGACGGCCCAAGCGGGCCCGGAGTCGCCGAAAGACCGCTCCAGGACGCCCAGGATAGGCCAAAGACGGCCCGAGAGGCCCCCCAAGGCACTCCAGGACGCGTCAAGACGCCTCTCCAGAGCGCTTCCAGAGGCCGAAATCGTCAATTGTACGAAGGTTTTCGAACGATTTTGGCCTTCCAGCCTTTTCGGCTGTCCGACGTTCCAAGACGGCTCAATAGGCTCCCAAGAGCGCCCCAAGACGGCCCAAGAGGGCTCCAAGACGGCCCCAGAGTCGCCTAAGACAGCCCAACAGAGCCCCAAGACGGCCCCAAGATGCGCCCAAGAGGGGGACCACGACTCCAAAATTCGACCCTCCCGCTTGAAGAGTGCCCCAAGGAGCCCCCAAGAGGCCCCAGGAGGCCCCCAAAAGGCACCCAGGAGGCCCGAACGAGGCCTAAAGAGGCTACAAGACAGCCCCGAGGAGGCCCCACAACGGTCCCAAAACGGCTACCGAGAAGCTGCGAAATTGCCTTCACGACGTCCCCGACAGGCCAACCACGAGATCCAAACCAACACCCATGAGGCCTCAGACCCACCACCCAGGGCACGGTGGCGGGAGCAGTGACAGCACTTGTGCACAGCATGTTCCGGCGGGAGCCTTCCGGAACACGCTGCAGGAGGAGGAAGAGGAAGATCAGGAGGAGAGAGAGTTGGAGTGGGAGGAGGAGGATGGGGACGAGGAGGAGGAAGAGGCCTCCCAGACAGCTCCAAGATAGCCGAAGAGGCTTCCAAGAGGGCCCTGGGCGGCCCACGAGGGTCCCAAGGCGGTGCCCGAGGCGCCCAAGACGTCCCGAGAGGGCCCCAAGACGGCCCCAAGAGAGGCCCAAGAAGGGAAACACGAACCGAGAATCCGAGCTTTCTACCCCGAGAGGTTCTCGGGAAGTCCCAAGAGGCCCACAATCGGATCCAAGAGGCCCCCAAGAAGCTCCCAAGAGGGCCCACGAGGTTCCAAGAGACCTCCCAAGGTGGCCCCAAGAGGCACAACTCATTGTTTTACGATTGGGCTTTGACGGGTTTAAATGTTTTCGGCCTTTTGGCATCCCGATGCTCCAAGACGGCCCAAGAGGCTTCCAATACCGCTCCCATATAGAGGAAGAGGACTCCAAGAGGGCCCCAAGACGGCCCGCGAGGGCCCCAAGACGGTGCTTGAGGCGCCCAAGACGGCCCGAGAGGGCCCCAAGAGCCCCAAGAGAGGCCCAAGAAGGGGAACGCGACCCAACAGCAGAGCGGTCCCCCCAAAAGGCCCACAGGAGGCCGCAAGAGGCCCCCAAGTGGTCCGACGAGGACCCCAAAAGCTTCCCGAGAGCCTAAAAGGCCCCTAGGAGACGTCCAAGAGGCTTTAAAATAGCCCAAGAGTGCCCTCGATGCGTCAAAACTGCTTCCAGGAGGCCCCCGGGAGGCTTCCGGATTGCCTCAATCTGGCCGCAGGTGGCCTCAAGTCGGGCTTCCACGCAGCCAAGACGGCCAATGAAAGCTTCAGATTGCAGAACCGATGCCCCCAAGGGACCCTCAGACGCCCCCCCAAGAAGCACCCAAGAGGTGCCTCCATCAGCCGGTTGACGAAGCATGCGGAACACCCCAGAAGCTCCTCAGATGCCGTCGCGCGCCTGTGCTTGATATCGTTGTCCAAGATCGTCCAGCGCCCCCCTGGCCTGGGCTAGAACCTGAGCGCGCGCGAAGCGCGCGCGATGGTTCTAGCCCAGGGGCCCGAAAACAGCTGCCCGACCCTCCAGTACCGGGGCTCATTTTCGCTGTGCTTTTACGCGGTTTCGGCGTCCTGGGCCTCGAAGGCCGCCGCGATGCTCCCGGACATTTTCCAGATCCTCGGCGCGGGCTCCAAGACCATTCCGCAGAGGGCTCCAACAGGCTCCAGGGCAGCCCAAGAGGGCTCCAAGACGGCTCCAGGAACGACTGCAGGGTCTCAGTTTTTCTGTGTTTTCTGCAAGACGGCTCCAGGAAGACTGCATGTCTTATGAGGATGGCTTCCGCCTCTTGCCCCGAGCATCCCAAACTGCCTGAACGGTCTCCACTCGCCTTCCCCAAACCCAGCGCTTGCCCAAGCGCGTTCCGGACGGTCTTCGCCGGAACGCGCTGGAATGATCACGCGCTGCGGTTTCCCATGCCAACGTCCTCGGACGTGGGCGCCCTGCCACGAGCGCGTTCCGGGAAGATGCTCCCGGAACGCGCTGAAAAGATATGGCCACATCTCGGGGACGCTCCCGGCACCGCTGCCCCAGCCTTTCCGGCAGCCTCCACAGCGCTCCAGGAGGGCCCAAGACGCCCCCCAGGAGCCCCCAGAATGCGAAAGGATGGCCCAAGACGCTCCCGAGCAGCCCAAGTCAGCCTTCCGACGGCTCTCGAGGCTTCCAGGTGGCCTCCAAGAGACCCCAAGAAGTCTGATAGGTATCACGGTACGGCCCGAAGAGGCCAAAGTCGTATATGTTCAATGGTCTTTTCAATGTTTTTGGCTTCTCGCGTTTTCGAGCTTCCAACGGTCCAAGAGCGCCGAAGAGCCGCCATGGGGGTACGGGGGCTCATTTTCCGTGTGGTTTTACAGTGTTTCCGCGTCCTGGGCCTCTGAGGCCGCCGCCTCCGACCCCCCATGGGAGGACGGGGCGGCCGGGGAGGTCCAAAATAGTCCAGGAGGGCCTCCAGAGGCTCCCAAGATGGCCCAAGCGGGCCCCGGGTCGCCGAAAGACCGCTCCAGGACGCCCAAGATAGGCCCAAGACGGCCCGAGAGGCCCCCCAAGGCACTCCACGACGCTTCAAGACGCCTCTCCAGAGCGCTTCCAGAGGCCGAAATCGTCAATTGTATGAAGATTTTCGAACGATTTTGGCCTGCCAGCCTTTTCGGCTGTCCGACGTTCCAAGACGGCTCAATAGGCCCCCAAGGGCGCCCCAAGACGGCCCAAGAGGGCCCCAAGACGGCCCCAGAGTCGCCCAAGACAGCCCAACAGAGCCCCAAGACGGCCCCAAGATGCGCCCAAGAGGGGGACCACGACTCCAAAATTCGACCCTCCCGCTTGAAGAGTGCCCCAGGAGGCCCCAAGGAGCCCCCAAGAGGCCCCAGGAGGCCCCCAAGAGGCACCCAGGAGGCCCAAACGAGGCCTAAAGAGGCCACAAAACAGCCCCGAGGAGGCCCCACAACGGTCCCAAAACGGCTACCGAGAAGCTGCGAAACTGCCTTCACGACGTCCCCGACAGGCCAACCACGAGATCCACACCAACACCCATGAGGCCTCTGACCCACCACCCAGGGCACGGTGGCGGGAGCAGTGACAGCACTTGTGCACAGCATGTTCCGGCGGGAGCCTTCCGGAACACGCTGCAGGAGGAGGAGGAGGAGGAAGATCAGGAGGACAGAGAGTTGGAGTGGGAGGAGGAGGAGGAGGAGGGGGACGAGGAGGAGGAAGAGGCCTCCCAGACAGCTCCAAGATAGCCGAAGAGGCTTCCAAGAGGGCCCTGCGCGGCCCACGAGGGCCCCAAGGCGGTGCCTGAGGCGCCCAAGACGGCCCGAGAGGGCCCCAAGACGGCCCCAAGAGAGGCCCAAGAAGGGAAACACGAACCGAGAATCCGAGCTTTCTACCCCGAGAGGTTCTCGGGAAGTCCCAAGAGGCCCCCAATCGGATCCAAGAGGCCCCCAAGAAGCTCCCAAGAGGGCCGACGAGGTTCCAAGAGATCTCCCAAGGTGGCCCCAAGAGGCACAACTCATTGTTTTACGATTGGGCTTTGACGGGTTTTAATGTTTTCGGCCTTTTGGCATCCCGATGCTCCAAGACGGCCCAAGAGGCTTCCAATACCGCTCCCATATAGAGGAAGAGGACTCCAAGAGGGCCCCAAGACGGCCCGCGAGGGCCCCAAGACGGTGCTTGAGGCGCCCAAGACGGCCCGAGAGGGCCCCAAGAGCCCCAAGAGAGGCCCAAGAAGGGGAACGCGACCCAACAGCAGATCGGTCCCCCCACAAGGCACACAGGAGGCCGCAAGAGGCCCCCAAGTGGTCCGACGAGGACCCCAATAGCTTCCCGAGGGCCTAAGAGGCCCCTAGGAGACGTCCAAGAGGCTTTAAGATAGCCCAAGAGTGCCCTCGATGCGTCAAAACTGCTTCCAGGAGGCCCCCGGGAGGCTTCCGGATTGCCTCAATCTGGCCGCAGGTGGCCTCAAGTCGGGCTTCCACGCAGCCAAGACGGCCAATGACGGCTTCAGATTGCAGAACCGATGCCCCCAAGGGACCCTCAGACGCCCCCCCAAAAAGCACCCAAGAGGTGCCTCCAACAGCCAGTTGACGAAGCATGTGGAACACCCCAGAAGCTCCTCAGATGCCGTCGCGCGCCTGTGCTTGATATCGGTGTCCAAGATCGACCAGCGCCCCCCAGGCCTGGGCTAGAACCTGAGCGCGCGCGAAGCGCGCGCGATGGTTCTAGTATATATATATATATACACACAAATATACTCATATATGTTCTGTCCCTGACATCTCTTGCTGTGTTCTCGAGGGCGACCGCTCGACAGGATGTCGGTTCCATAATCCTTTTTGGCTCTGTAGTTTCAGAGGGCCGCGCTCACACCTTCCATGTGGCCATGGTTGGCTGACCGCGGCGCCAGCCTCGCCCTCGGCTACCTCGGGCGCTGCCCTGCGGCGCCGAGCTGCCCGCCCTGCCCGGCCGCGCCGCCGTGCCCAGCCGCGCCGCCGTGCCCGGCTTGCCCCGCGGGGGCCTTCTCAGCGGCCGCGCCTCAGGAGGCGCCTGCCGCTCCGCGGGGCCCCCAGGCGCCGCCCACCGGGCCGTGCCTGGAGCCAGCGCCCTGCGCGGGCGGGCCGGGTGGCTGGTGGATTTTCCTGCTGGGCCTCATCGTCGGCGTGCTCCTGAGCGTGGTGGCCTGTGCAGCCTGGCGAGCGGCGGTGGCAGCCGCCCGGGCCTTGGTCGCCCCTCGGGCGAGGCCTGACGCTCCTGCCCTGGCGGACGAGCTGCCCGCTGCCGCCGCCGTCCCAGGCTGTCCCTCGGAGGCGACACCATCGACCTTGAGGAGGCGGCATGGCCCGCACGCTTGACGTACCAGAGCGGCAGATCTTAGTGGACTTCTTCGACGACCCCAACGGGTTTCGATGGCATATGCGATTGCTCGTCCTGGCCACGCCCAACCCTGGGCAGTGGATATGTTCGACGCCAGACCTGAGCATTCAGTTCATCGACGTCACCACCCACAGGGTGACCCCCCTCACGCGGGACTCGGAGTTCCCGCGGCGGGTCAGAGGCGAGGCCTACGCTTTCGATCCGTTGACCCCCGAGGAGCTCCAGCAGGTCCGCCGAGAGGCCAAGGAGCTGCTGGCCGTGCACGGGCTCGCGGGGGGCGCGGACGCGCAGCCCGAGGGTGGGCGCTGGCTGATCGCCGACCCCGCGCACCCGGGCTTCGGCGACGCGCTCCCCGCCGCGGCCCTCGCCGATGCCGACAGCCTCATCATCCGAGGCGACCGCGGCCTCGCGCGTGTGGACGAGGACTGGCTCGCCGTGGAGAGGGTGCTGGACGAGGACCTGGACAACTGGAGGTTGCTCAAGTCGACGGGCGCGGGCCGCGACAGGCGGATCCTCGGCGACGAGCGCGTGAACGGGGTGCCCGTGCTCTCTCTCTTTCTCTCTCTCTCTCTCTCTTTCTCTCTCTCTCTCTCTCTCTCTCTCTCTCTCTCTCTCTCTCTCTCTCTCACCGCCGCGGCGAGGGCCAGCAGCAAGGCCCTTCGGCCTGGCTGGCCCTTCCGCGGCGACGCCTGCGCCCCGGGGCTTGTCATGGCCCTCGTCGCTGCGGGGGTCGTGTTCATCGCTCACCACCTGGACTGGAGAACGAAGTCGGGGGTCAGTAACACGTCGGGGGTGTTCCGGACGCACCGCCGCATCTGCGAAGGCCTCGACCAGGCCATCTGCTACGACCAACTCGACTTCGCCAACTGCGCGGTCATCGAGCACCTCGCCCGCTGGCTCTACGAGGCGGAGTCGGCGGTCAGGAGGAACCCGAAGGTGCCAGACTTCACGAACCTGGACGGCATCTTCGCGGCTCCCATGGCCGAGGACGGGCGGATGCAGCTGCCGACCTTCTCCAAGTGGGTCTCCTCGCTCCGCCGCGACGAGGCCCAGATCATGAAGCAGGAGCGGCTCTGGGGCGAGGAGCACGGCATCGACCACGCCAAGCACAAGGGCAAGGACGGCAACGGGCCAGGCCGCGGCGGCGGCAAGGGCCCCAATCCCTCGGCCGAGCAGGGGCCTTCGGCCCCGGGGCGCCCGGGTCAACGGGGCAAGTCTTCTGTCGACGCCTGCTTCGACAACGCCTGCTGCCCGGGCGCCCCCCTCGTCGCCACCTCCGTGCTGACGCCCCTCGTGGACGCCCCCCTGGTCGGTGGAGGCCCCGACGTGAGCTACGGCACGGACGAGCTTGGCGGTCCGATGATGCGGGAGATGGCCCTCGACCTGACCCCGCCAAGGACTGCCGCGCCATCCAGGGTCACCGTCACGGAGACCCATTCCCCCTCCCGCTGTCTGGGGAGGTGCTCGCGCGCGGCGGCCATGCTGGGCCTGCTGCGCGGTCGCGAGTGCGATGTGTGCGCGAGGCGATCTGGTCTCTGAACGCCCTCCACGCCCCATCGCGCGCCCTTCGGGCGCGCCAGCCTTCCTCGAGCCGTCGCCTCACGGAGGCGCAGCGCTCGATCATCTCGCGCGTCAGCCGGCGCATCGAGAGCTACGGGGAACGACCCGACATCCTGCCCGCCACCGCCTACGCCGACCTCATCAAGAGTCACGATTTGTACTCGGGGCAGCCGATGAACCTGAAGCCGTACGACCCCAGCCTTCTCAAGGTACTCCACCGCGACCGACGCCCCCAGGAGCTCCGCGGCTGCCTGGGCACCGAGGGTCGCATGTACCTGGACCACGCCGACGAGCTTATCTTCAGGACTGAGGCCGAGCTTGACGTCCTCCAGGAGAGCGAGCTGACCCAGCCCATCGCGCCGCATCACGACCCGATCCTGAAGAACAACCGCCGCGCCAGGATAGACTTCATCAAGCGCCTTGCCTCCGTAGGCCTCGTCGGGTTCAGGCTCTCCATCCGCGGTCGCATCGGCGCCTTCTGCGTGGGCAAGAAGGCAAGAAGGACGGATCCCTCCGCCTCGTCCTCGACGGGCGTGAGCCCTCCTCGCTCCACAGGAGGCCGCCCCACACCGCCTTGGGATCCGCTGGGGCCCTCGCAGGGCTCGACCTCTCTGACCAGGCCCTGCGGTCCCAGGGCGTCGATCCCCAGGCGGCCGACATCCACGCGGCGGGCCTGGACCTGAAGGATGGGTTCTACCAGTTCGCGAACGACGACCTCGCGGATTGGTTCGGGTTCAAATGCCCCGAGGCCGCGCCCGACTTCGGCGACCCGCTCGTGCGCATCCCCGCCGACGGCCGCTTCGTCCAGGTGTCGAGCGACACTCGGATCTTCGCGGTCTTTCGGGGTCTGCTGATGGGTTGGTCGTGGCCCCTCTTCTTCTGCCAGGATCTCCTGGAGGAGGCCCAGTGCAAGGGCCTTCTGAGCTTGGGATGTGAAGACGGAGGCCGCTTGGTGCACGAGAGGTGCCCCGCGCCCTTGCTGGCGCCCGGCTGTCCCCTGTCCAAGCCCTACGTGGACAGCGCCAACGTCATCGGCCTCAGCCGCAGGGACACCGAGCACGCGCTGCGCGGCATCCAGCACGTCCTGGACTACTTAGGCATCGACTACCACGACCTGGTGGAGCCCACGAAGTTGTACACCACGGTGGGCGTCGTGCTCGACACGGCTGCGCGCCGCCTTCGCCACGCGGAGGCTCGCGCTTGGCGCCTGTACCTTGGCGTGGAGCATCTGCTTCGTGTGCGTCGTGCGTCTGGCCGTGCCCTTCGAGTCGTGCACGGCCACCTGGTCAACCACTTCATGATCGCGCGGCCAGCGCTTGCGGCGCTGGACGAGGGGTGCCGCTTCATCGCGCAGCGCCTGGACGAGCGGGCCCCCCTCGGCCGCCTCCTGCTGGGCGAGCTCCGCGCGGTGAAGGGTCTGCTGCTGCTGGCCGACGTGGACCTCGCCGCCCCTGGTCGCGTGCAGTCTACTGCAGCGACGCGTCGGGCGGTGAGCTGCGTGGCTGGACAGGCTGGCCTTTCGCCGTCGCGGGGAACGGCGGCTACGCCCTCCGCGAGACGGCCTGCGTCGACTACGAGGTCATGCAGGCTTTCAAGTACCGCGAGCGCTGGAGGTTCAAGATGGAGGAGGAGGAGCTAGTCACGCCGGGGGCCCCGAGCGACGAGATCTGCGGCTGGGCCCCTGAGCCCGCGGCCACCTCCGACCTGCTCATCGCCGGCCTCCTGGCCCCCAGCTCCAAGCCGTCGGTGATCGACAAGCGCCTCCCTCGCACGAGGGCCGCCATCGTGCAGGGCGCCGTGCCAGCTCTGGACGACGCCCTCCTGGTCCGCAGTCGTTGGAAGATGATCGTGCGAGGCGCCTTCGGGTACATGGCCTCCATCCACGTGAAGGAGGCTCGGACTCAGCTCCTCGGCCTCGTCCGCGCCTCGCGCGATCCCCGCATGCACGGCCTCCGCGTCGGTAGCCCGGGCGACAACATGGCGGCGCTCCTCAGCTTCGAGAAGGGGCGCGCCCGTGACAGGGCCCTCCTCCAGCTCTGCCAGGTCAGTGCCGCCCGCCAGATCGGGCGCGAGATCCAGTGGAAGCAGCGCTACTGCGAGTCAGGCCGCAACCCGACGGACGCCGACAGTCGTGCTGCTGACCTGGGACATGTCCTACCTGATCATCCCCAGCGTGGCTGCTCGCGGGCCCTGGCCGTCATCGAGTCGACCAACGCGGGGCTTGCCGCAGAGCCCGCGGGGCCCCCTGCTCGCGCGCGGCGCCTTGCACCCTTTGGGCCGGCCGCTGGCCTCCTGCCTGGCGGGGCGGCCGCGCGCCTAGCCAGGGTCGGCGCCTTCGCGCGGCGGAGGCCCCCTCGGGCTGGCGCCGTGCACGGGCACCCAGCGCCCGAGCCCTCTCGCGCTGCCCCACTGGCCACGCCGCGCGGACAGCCGTGCCGGCGCGCCCGCGGGGACCGCAGCCGCTGCCGGGCATTTTGCGAGCTCTACGCGGGCACCGGCAGGCTCACGGCAGCCGTCAGAGACATTCGTTTGCACTGAACTCCACACTTCGAGATTGGAAATGGCAAGCATTTCGACGTCCATCATCATTCTGCCTTTCGTATTTTATCACGCTGGATTTGCCTCAAGAAGCTTGGTCTATTCATTTCGGTACGCCGTGCACTTTCTGGTCACTCGCCACTGGGCCCCATCGGGAACCTCATCAGCTTCAAGGGCGGGCCTCGAGCTGCTCGTGCTTTCTTACGGATTTCACGGCTATGTCATCAGTGCGGCATCCAGTGGTCTCTGGAGAACCCGGCTGGGTCCAAGCTCTTCAACTGGGACCCCCTCGCGGACTTCCTGAAGACCCCAGGTGGCAATTGGGCCCTCCTCCACTACTGCCAGTACGGCTGCGCCTATAAGCAGCCCACGTACCTCGTGTCGATCCTCCCAGAGATCGCATCTCTCGAGCGCCTCTGCCCAGGGAACCACAGCCGCGAGATTCTCCAGGGCAAGGTATCCCTCGCGACGCCCTCTGGGGCCATCCGCAGCCATTGGAAGACCAGCCTTGCGGGGGCCTACCCACCTGAGCTCTGCCGCAGATGGGCTCGCCTCCTCGCGGCCTGTGCTCCCCGCGCTGCGCGCTGTGCTCATGCCGGCGACACGCTCGGCGACCACTGGGGAACTGAGCCGGCGGCCAACTTCCCGGGCGGAGGCGCCCAGCCCCAGCGGCCGCAACCCTCCTGCCCTTCGGTGTCGCCGCCCGAGTGGCCCGCCTCGGCGCCGCAGCGGGCGCCGCCTGGCCCAAGCCTGCCGCCGCTGGCGGGCAGGCGCCGGGCCGGGGCGCATGCAGCAGAGAGCGTCGGGGTGCGCCGGCGAGAGCGGGCGGTCGGCGCGGACAGGCCCTACCTCAAGCACCAGCGTGTCCAGCCCCGCACCGTCGCCTTGCACCGCGAGGCCCGCCGCAAGTTCAGCCAGTGGGCGGCCGAGCAGCACCTCCGCCAGGTGTCCATGGGCGAGACAGACCTGGCCATGACGAGGTACCTCGACCACATGCACTTCCAGGGGCTCAGCATCGTCCACTCCAGGAACGCCGTCCACGGGACGATCTTCGTGAAGGACTTCCCGCGAAGATCGCCGACCACCATGCACCGTGCCAAGGACGCCCTGGCCGGATGGTTCAAGGCAGGGCCCGACCGCGTCAGAGATCCGCTGCCCTGGGAGGCTGCGGTGCTGATCGCCGACAACCTCGCCGAGAGAGACCGCGAGGGGGTCGCCGCCGCTGGGGCCCTGCTCGTCAGCTTCGACGGGTACATCAGGCCGAGCAACACCCTGGCCATCACGAGCCGCGAGGTGAGCCTGCGCCAGGCGGGATCCAATCCCAACTACCCCAGCCTCGTGGTCACGATCGCGCCTCAGGCCGACGACCACGGCCAGCAGCCCGCCCCATCGACCAAGTCGGGGGACCACGACTGCACCATCGTCTTCGGCGACCAGGCCAGCCTCAAGGCCAACAGGGGCATCTGCCGCGACGCCCTGCTCTGGGCCTCGAGGAAGGCCCGCCGCGGCAGGCCCCTGTTCGACATCAGCCTCGCGAAGTACGAGCAGCTTTTCAACCAAGCCGTGTCCGACGTACAGCTGAGCTCTCTCAGGGTCACGTCGCACTGTGCCCGGCGCGGAGGCCCGGGCACCGACGCAGCTCTCAAGCTGCGCCCCCTTGAGGCCATCCAGAAGAGAGGCCTCTGGCGCTCAGCCTCCAGCGTGCGGCGCTATGAGAAGCATGGCACACTCATGCGCCAGATTGCAAAGATGACGTCCTCCCAGCTTCGTTCTTTGCCCGCAGCCCTTCGAAGGCTGCAGAATATGTTCAAGATTTGATTTCCCACCCACCCTGCCCAAACAGTCCGATTTACGGGGTACGGGATGAGGTGATTATCTCGATAAGTCAGGCTTTTCTCTTGCACTGTGGCGCCGCCACAGCAGAAGCGACGCTCTTGAGTGGGACCCTCTGGCTAAAGAGTTATATGTTGCGCTTCGCGCGCTGCATGGCCCTTCTGCCCACGTCTGCTCTGGTCGCCCGTGTAGAGAGGCCTACTGGCGCGTAGCAATGTTCTGTCCCTGACATCTCTTGCTGTGTTCTCGAGGGCGACCGCTCGACTGGATGTCGGTTCCATAATCTTTTTTGGCTCTGTAGTTTCCCTCCCTCCCTCCCTGGGATGCGGTGATTATCTCGATAATTCAGGCTTTTCCCTTGTACTGTGGCGCCGCCACAGCAGAAGCGACGTTCTTGAGTGGAACCCTCTGGCTAAAGAGTTATATGTTGCGCTTCGCGCGCTGCATGGCCCTTCTGCCCACGTCTGCTCTGGTCGCCCGTGTAGAGAGGCCTACTGGTGCGTCGCAGTATTTACATATATATATATATATGAAATTATAGCATCCCAGGGGGAAGCGTTAAGTCCCGGGGGGGGGGGGGGGGGGGGGGGGGGGGGGGGGGTCTATTTTCTTTTTAGAAAGGAGCATGAATTCATACCCATGGTTTGACACATCCCACGCTCTTGCAAACATCCCACCCACCCACCCGCAACTTGGTTTGCAAAGCCTCTTTAGACTGTGACGGTAGGTATCAGATGGCACTTGGCAACGACACCGACGCCGACGACGACAGCGGCGTTGACGACGACGACGCCGACGACGACGACTGCGATGACACCGACGACGTCCCCGACGACTCCGACGACGACGACGACAACGACGACGACGTCCCCGACGACACCGACGACGACGACGACGCCGACGCCGACGACGACGACGATGACGACGCTGACGACGACGACGCCGCCGACGACGACGTCGACGACGCCGACGACGACGACGTCGGCGACGACGACGCCGCCGACGTCGGCGACGACGAAGACGACGACGCCGACGCCGACGACGACGACGACGACGTCGCCAACGAAGACGACGACGACGACGAGGGAGGAGGGAGGACGACGACGGCGACAACGACTACGACGACGAGGGAGTAGGGAGGACGGCGACGACGCGGATGACGAAGAAGGAGGGCGGACGGCGACGATGACGACGACAACGACGAGGGAGGAGGGAGGACGACGACGACGGCGACGACGGCGACGGCGACGAAATAGCAGAAACAACGACGAGACGCCGACGACGGACGACGACGACGACGAGGGAGGAGGAGGAAGGACGACCACGGCGACAACGACGAAGGAAACGACCACGACGCCAAAGAGGACGACGACGAGGAAAGACAGAGGACGACGACGGCGACGACGACGACGACGACGAGGGAGGAGGGAGGACGGCGACGAGGACGACGACGTCGCAAAAGCGCGCGCGCACGCTTTTGTTGAAAATCCGCGTTGCGAAATCTTGTGCTTTTGTTGGTTTTCTGTGCACACGGTTTTGAAATCCTTCCGACACCGATGGGTTTTGAAGGATTCCGGCCTGCGCGCGCGACGACGCGCGCGCCTGCACTTCGTCCCGTTTGTTGCATCGCGACGGCGCGCGCGCAAGGGCGTTCGACAGATTTCGACGTGCGCGCGCGAAGCACGTTTGATAGCATTTTATGAAAATCTAGAAAAAAACAACATATGATTTTCAAGATTTCGCAAGAGCTCGCGCTTAAACTTTTTTAGTAAATCCAAGTTGCGAAACCATGTGTTTTTGTATGCTTTTGTAGAAATTCGATTGCGAAGGCCTTCCGGCACCGAAGGTGTTTGGAGGATTTCGGCATGCGCGCGCGACGACGCGCGCGCGTGCAGTTCGTCATTTTTTCAGCAAGGGATTCGTGAGAAGTCTTATGTTAGAGCAAAAGATGTCCCCGCGTATTGTTTTTTACAAGGGAACGTCAGGGGGGCCGATACCGGCCCCCTTGGGATAGTGCAAATTCATATTTAGGACGGACATGCGGTCATTATGATATGTGAGTTACATGCCCGAAAGGGGGGCGGATAACGCCAGGGGGGGTAGAGTCTTTCTTTTTTTAGAAAGGAGAATCAATCACTTGCTCAACTTGAAGCTGTCCTCTCCACTGCTCGCGCGCACATCCCGCCCTCCCGCCCGCAACTTGGTCGCAATACCTCTTAAGACCGCGACGGTGGGTACCAAGTGGCACTTGGCAGCGACGCCGACGACGACAGCGATAACGACGACGACAACGCCGCCGACAACGACTACGACAACACCGACGACGTATCCAACGACTTCGACGACGACGACAACGACGACGACGACGACAACACCGACGACGACGACGACGACGCCGACGCCGACGACGACGACGATGACAACGCCGACGACGACGTCGCCAACGAAGACGACGACGACGACGAGGGAGGAGGGAGGACGACGACGGCGACGACGACAACGACGAGGGAGGAGGGAAGACGACGACGACGACGACGGCAACGACATAGGAGGGACCACGGCGGCAACGACGACGGAAACGACCACGACGCCAAAGAGGACGACGACGAGAAAAGACAGATGACGACGACGGCGACGACGACGATGACGAGGGAGGAAGGAGACGGTGACGACGACGACGCGCGCTTTTGTTTGCGAATGCTTTTGTTTGTGTGTTTTTGGACTCACGAGTTGGACATCCTTCCGAAACTGAGGTTTTTGAAGGATTCCGGCATGCGCGCGCGACGACGCGCGCGTCTGCAATTCGTCTCATTTGTTGCAGAGGATTCTCGCGACGGCCCGCGCGCAAGGGCGTTCGCAAGATTTCGACATGCGCGCGCGAAGCCCGTGTGGAAGTATGTTTTTGAAACTGTTGACAACAGTTGGTTTTCTTAAGAGTTCGCAAGAGCGCGCGCGTAAGTTTTTTAGAGCATCCTTGTTGCGAAACCATATGTTTTGTATGGTTTTAGGAAGCTCGATTTTGAAACACTTCCTAAACCGAAGGTTATTGAAGAATTCCGGCATGCGCGCGCGACGACGCGCGCGTGCGATTTTCGTTCCATTTGTTGCAAAAGCGTTTTTGGAAATTTATGGTCGCTGATAAAAGAGATCGCGCGCATTGCTTGTTTTGCAGAGGATGGCGGGGGGGAATGGTACGGGCCTGGCTAGGATAGTATGAATTCATATTTGGGATGGACGTTTGTGCAGAATAAATGTGACATCGCAATGCCGCAGGGGGCACTGTCAACTCCAGGGGGGAGGGGTCGAGTTTTTTTCCTTTAGAAAGGAGAACTCACGTGCCGAACTTGAAGTTGTCACTTCCACTGCTCGCGCAATCACCCCACCCACCCACCCGCAACTTGGTTTACAAAACCAATGCGGGAGCGATTGCGATGAGTGCTGGGCGTTGGCTGGTGCATCCCTGCGGCCGCGCTTGCCCGCGCATGCTCGCGCGCGCTGCGGCCGGCTAGTTTGGCGCGTCCGACGCGAATGCGGTGGCGCTGACCGCTCGGCGCATCCCAGCGGGCACTTCAGTGCGAGTCGGCGACTTGGGCGGGCGCGGTATCACGGCAACGTCGACATCGGTAGACACGACGATGATAGTTGCGATGCTGGCGGCGTTGCTTACAGCGACGACGGGGCAACCAGTGACGGCGCCGATGGTGATCGCGCCGACGACGATGGCGGCTTCCTCGCGTCGGCGATGCAGATTTGTGATGGAATGCGACATGTGCGCGCGGCAGACGCGCGAGAGTGGCTCGCGTGGCATTATTTGACGCGGATCGCGCCGCCCCCAGCACTCGCGCAAGGGCGCCCGAGAGATTTCGACATGCGCGCGCGCGAGGCTCGTTTGGAAGCACGTTATGAAAATGCTGAAGAAATTCTTCGTTGAACATCCACGTTGCGCAACCGTGTGTGTTTACATGTGTGGGGGGCGCTTGTGTTCTCGAGCTCTTTCCGGAACCGCCAGTTTTTGTAGGGCCTCGGCATGCGCGCGCGACGGCGCGCGCGTGCGCATTTTGTCGCGTTTTCTTTAACACATTGAAAAGGAATGTGTGAAACTTTCTGATTTGTGGTAAACGAGTGCGCGTGCATGGTATTTTTCAACAGCCCTCCTTGATTGGGTATGTGTTTTGGCTAAAGCATTGCGTTCGCGTCCTTTTTCTCTTTCCGCCCCCTGCATCCCGTCTCCCCCCCCTCCATCTGGTCTCCTTTTGCCTTGCCGGGGGGGCTGCGATCTGCGCGAGCGCCGCCGCTTCCGGGGGCTGCCGGCGGGTCCAGCGGGGCGAGCCACCGCGCGGATCTGGGCGAGACCTCTTCGTTCCCGGGGGGGCTGCGATCTGCGAATCTGCCGGGACTTTTTTTTTTGCGCGGGCTGCTGGCGGGCCCAGCGAGGTGGGGCACCGCGCGGATCTGAGCGAGACCTCCCCGTCATTCGGGGGCTGCGATCTGCGAAACCTTGCCATTTTCGAGGGCTGCTGGTTGGTCCAGCGGAGTGAGGCACCGCGCGGGTCCGAGTGAGTCTTCTCCGTCCCTGGGGGGGCTGCGATCTGCGAAACTGTCGCCGTTTTCGAGGGCTGCTGGCGGGCCCGGCGGAGCGGGGCACCACGCGGATCCGGGCGAGATTTCCCCGCCCCTGGGAGGGTGCGATCTGCGAAACTGCCGCCGCTTTCGAGGGCTGCTGGCGGGTCCAGCGGAGCGAGGCGCCGCGCGGATCCGAGCGAAACCTTGTCGCCCCTGGGGGGGTGCGCCGCGCGGATCTGACGCCGCTTTCGAGGGCTGCCGGCGGG